TTTTTCATTACATGCCATCTGTAACTTGTAGGTTGATCCTTAATCCTCTTTTTGTGGATATTTCAAAGACATGTAACAGGTTACTGTTGAAAATGCTGGAACTGGTGGGCCTTGATATGATTCAGAAAGGCTTGTTATGTGCCAATAATCCCCCAGTCATCACAGCCTACAGCCATCCTGCTGGGGAATCCTAAGAGTTGCAGTCCATAAAAGTAATTTCTCTAAGTTCTGTGATTTTTCTGTGCAAACTTAGACTCTATGTAGGCAAAAGTCTCTATTTATTCTGGGTCCCATCCATGTGTTTATATCTCTGTATGTGAACAAACAGTGCAGAACATGCATGGGTTTGAGCAGAGCTCAGAGCGTTACAGCTGAAAATAAACGGTGTTAATCATTATAAATATGATTATAAATCATTTCCATTTATATCTGGGAACATTTAATTGATTGAATTACATCACAAAATCATTAATTAATTTTTGAAAAATCAAAAGTAGAGTTTACAGAGAATAGCTATTTATTCTGGGTCCCATCCATGTGTTTATATCTCTGTATGTGAACAAACAGTGCAGAACATGCATGGGTTTGAGCAGAGCTCAGAGCGTTACAGCTGAAAATAAACGGTGTTAATCATTATAAATAGGGAAAGTAATTCATCTCTCTTTCCATTTATATCTGGGAACATTTAATTCATTGAATTATATCACAAATTCATTAATTCTTTTTTTAAAAAATCAACAGTAGAGTTTACAGAGAATAGCAAGTAGGATTCGCCATTGATACACGCAGTCAGACCTGCTTTCCAGCAGCACATTTATTATTGGTTCCAAAATACTCTAGAATTTCATTCCCCAGTCTGGCTTTTCTCTGGGATTGGAATGGTGGTTGCAGGTCGAAAGGTCTGTAGGTCGAGGCTCCATTGACCTACAATGCATTGAAAACCAATTAATCCCATAACTGGCCATTTTTGTTCCATTTTGTGTGTTTTTTTTCCAGTCTGAAAGTCCATTCTCCGGCTGCAAGTTGAACCTACATTTTGCGGCCAGAGAAGTCTGTAACTCAAAAAGTCTTTAAGTGGAACCATCTGTAAGTCGAGAGTCCACTGTAGGATATCACCATTGATACACACAGTCACACCTGCTTTCCAACAACACATTTATTATTGGTTCCAAAATACTCTGGAATTTCCTTCCTCAGTCTGGCATTTCTCTGGGTCAACTACAAATACAACTGTTAGCTGATTATGGAGGTTCCAGCATACATGAAAGTCATTCGGCTGGAGCAGGATATGTTCCTTAACACAGGCTCTCATCTCTCTACCAACAGAAAATAAGACATCAATGCACTTTGAACAAGATTTATTATATACAGAGTGCAACTATTTTGGTGTTGACACATTTCCAAGCTCGGCACTTAGCACAGAATTGCACTGGTTGTTATTTCAAAATCATTTTCTGTATGTTCTATGTTTACAGAGATATTTGAAAGTACTGAGTTCCCTTGCGAGGTCTACATCTGGGCTCCCTTAGCTGGTGGCTGTTTTCTTCTGCTGATACTCCTTTTGATCACCTTATCAGTGTGCTGTGGTAAGAGAATTTCCTCTAAACTGTATCTGATAGCTGGGATAAGGTAGGGGGGAAGTAACATAAAACTGGGTATATATTTAGCAACAACAGACTGTGTGTATATATATTTAGTAATTAAAACCTGTGTTACCTCAGGGTGATATCGAGCACAAGCGTAGGGTTTGGAAAGTTTCTTTTAAAAAGTAATTACTTCTTGTTATTGTTCCAAGCTCTCAAGCAATGTGTGGCTTTATGGACACAATTTAAAAAAACATTTTTTTAACCTTCCCATTTTGTAAAAGAAAAGAAAAAAAAGCAACAAACACGTAACTTTTAGTTACTTCAGAAAATAACAAGCTGAATGATACAAGCTACCAGACTCTGATACAAAATACACTCTCCTACTGTGCATCCTGTTGTCTCAACAGAACAAAAAGGGGTAAAATTATCACTTGCTAAGTTACAATTGCAATGCAATTGTATTATACCTTAATTATACCTTTCATAATGAAAAAGAGAATCAACTATCAACAATGTTGTACAGTATTTGTAATTATTTACTTTCAAGCTCTGGCTATGGATACCTATTTACAGAGCAAGCCTGTATTTGTATGTGTGTGTGAGTCCTCTAGAAAAAACTTTTAATCAGTTTTTAAATTGTGCTATATGTCAGTCGAGGGGGCTATGTGGGCTTTTAAAACTCTTGCATCTGAGACTGGCTGCCTCTCACAGCCACTCTCTGAACAAAAAACATGCTTCCCAGCCAATAAAATGTGCATTTAAGTGTACATCATATAAACAGATATTTTTTAAAATTGATTTCAATCATGTTAAATCTGACATAGACCCAGGAGGATTTCAAAGTGTCACTAAGCCAAGGGTCAAGCACTTATTTTCACAATTGGAGATACTCCCACTTCATCCATTTTCTTCAGTGTTCTCTTCCCACCCACCCAAACCGCAAGCATTCCAAAGCACGCTCAGTAGTCCCTGTACTAGTTTATATTTCTCCTCTTGGCTTTTTTTCCTTCTAATATCCTTCCTCAAACCTTGATGTTCCAGCACATCTGCAGATATGTTCCTGTTGTAAATGGATCACTTCGAGAATTGTGTCAGTATGAAGATATTTTACAGCATAGGCCGCAGAGTAGTGTGGAAGAAGCAGACTGTCATAGGGAGGAAAGGAATTGCAATACCTTTATCCCAAAAACCACATTGAAGCCTATTTTGCAGAATACATTTATTTTCCTTTAAAAGGATTGGAAACAGAGCACCGAAAACAATACCATAGATAACATATTATTGGGCAGATGGCCACTCTTTTATTTAAAAAGGAGCAAAATGCAACTGGGGGAGTGCATGTGGCCCCCAGTATCTGCAATTATGTCCCCTAGCACCCCAGTAGCCACCCCTCAATTTATAATTTCTTTGGTTTCTTGTACCCACCAGGTGACTTCTGGTCTTCACGCAAGGAAAGGCCTCTTTAGAGTATTTTTAAAATATTGGGCATTGTTGTTGTTGTTGTTGTTGTTGTTGTTGTTGTTGTTGTTATGTCAGGAGGAGTGTTGGACAATGGCACTCTTTTGATGGACCCGGGACAACAGATATGATCCATCTAGGCTTTGGGAAGCTGCCCGCCATAATGTATATTAGCATGTGCCAATTGTATGTAGGCTAATTGTCTGGGATGCAATAAATTGTTCCATTCAATGGAATATATTACTGATTGTCCAGTTCAGGGAGACCTAAAATAATAGCCCAGGACTTTCCATATCAATAGGGATCTGGTGGAGAGTTAAGGTAACCATATTAAAACAAAACAGAAACACTCTTGCATGTTTTAAGAGTTGTATAGAAGAGGGAATTTCAGCAAGTACATCTTGCATGACAACTTCTCATATGGTTTACAAACCTGTGGAGAATCACCTGCAGCCAGATTCCAAGCCTGTGGCCATTGTACTCAAAATAGCATGTGTCTTTGTATGAGCAAACTTGCCTGCTTTCTAAAAGTAGACCGCCCGCAGCCTTCTTCCTTGACTGCCGATGCCCAAACAAAAATAAAGGATTGCTCATATGTACAAAAGTCTATGAACTCAGGTAGATGAGGAAGGTGCAAATAACAGCAAAGTGTTTTATTTTGTACCAACAATATAATAATAATTGTTTCCCTCTCAATGACAAATTAATTGAAGACCCCAGAAGGCGGCGAAGACGATGCAAATGTAAAAGGTAAGTCAGGCTGCGTTAAACCCTGTTGACTATTATGGGATTTATGTAAATATTTAACTCCCCATGTGGTGCATTTTGTTCAATGGCAAATTTTAGAGCAGATGTGTACATTTTTTTCTATAAGAGCAATCAAGAGATGTTTGGGGCAGTAAATTTAAGAGTACTTTGAAACACTGAGCCATGTATTTCTATACTGTAATCTGCATCACAATATGAAATTCTTTTCTGGTTAGATGACCTGAGTGCTCAGATGAGAAAATAGGAACAAACTACTTGTTAGATAAGGTTCTTCATATGTATTATTGGACAGATGGCTACCCGTTTAATTTGTTTTCGGTAAGCATATTTAGATCTGACCTAGATAAATTGTACTTTTAATTGCTTTTTTATTGCTGTCTGAGCAAAATTTAGCTCTTGTTATTTTGGTCTAAATGGATCATATGACTGCAATAAACAGTAACATTTCTAGAAACTCGTTTCTACAAATGACAGGCCATCCTTTAATTTATTATAGAATCTATTTAAAATTATTTTGGGATACTGGCATAATGTCAGACTCTCTCTCTCTCTCTCTCTCTCTCTCTCTCTCTCTCTGTGTGTGTGTGTGTGTGTGTGTGTGTGTGTGTGTGTGTGTGTGTGTGTGATGTGTTATTGAGTTAGAACCAACTTATAGAAAACCTAGTAGGGTTTTCAAGGTGAATGAAATAATTAAAAAGTAGTTTTACCAATTCCACTTCCCTGGTGAGTTTCCATGGTGAAGTAAGGATTTGAATCCTGTTGTCCAGAGTCCTAATTCGTCACTCTATTCACTACACCACTCTGGGAATCCCATAATGTTAGTAGAGTTGAGATAATATATATTAGAATATTGATTAATACAATATATGCATGTTTGTACATATTAATTATGTACATGTTTGTACAGGAAATCTTGGCACCAAACTACATGTGATTTTAATTGCAGTTTTGCATCTAATGTGCAGGCTTTAAAAAAAGCACATTGTACAAGAGGTTGTTAATTGACGTGATTGGAACAGCCAAAAGGAAGAAATAAAATGTGTTCCTCCTTCACTCACCCATCTCCTTCTCTGTTGAAATTGGTGGTTGCATTTGGGGTTACTTTACCTATTGGTACATTTAGATGAGATGGCTAAACATTTTCCCTTTAATTTTTGTTTGCTTTTTAAAAGGTGTTATTAAAGCTCAGAGCAGCTGGAAGGCTTTGCGCAGACTGCCAGTTATATTTTCTGGGTCAAAATGCTCACAGGAATCCTACTCAGTCTTTTTTGCACAGCTAAAAGTAGCTTTTAAAAAACAGAGGGAGAAAAAACAGTAAACCACAGCAATAAAGTAACCGCCAAAGCAAGACAATACAACCAGCGGTTGGGATGGATACCCATGGCAGAAAGAGCCAGATGCCCAGACGAACAAGCAGCTTCCCTTCAAAGAGAACATGTTTATGAGACAGTGCATCCTTTTGCACCATAAGAGAATTTGGGATTGCTTCCTCACCCCCCCCCCACACACACACACACACACTGATGCTCCATGTCAGCTGAACAATTCTGGGAGCTGCAGTCAAGAAGCCTGGGGCAGGACCTCTGCTGCTGACCCAATTACATAGATAGGAATATAGAGGATGAGACAGTAGATATGGATGCACACTTTGTTGTACATCTGTCTATAGACTGACTGAATTTTCAAGCAGATACGTCTTATGTCCCTTGACATTAATATCCTTAATTTGTTCCCCATAATCAGTCATTCACACTGCCTCAGACAAAGTTTCTACTGCCACTTTTCTACAGTATAACAAAGGTTGTGGAACTAGATTTGAGAGAATATGTAAAGGAATGTAATGTAAAGGAAAAAATATACAATGAACCTGAAAAATATATAATGTTTCCTGAATATTGTATTCTCAAATGCTTTCACAGCCAGGATATGATGGTTGCTGTTGGTTTTCCGGGCTGTTTGGCCATGTTCTAGAGGTTTTTCTTCCTAACATTTTCCAGTCTCTGTGGCCAGCATCTTCAGAGGGCAGGGATTGGAG